ATAATTTTCAGTCACGAAAGCCATGTTCCATGAAAAAAAAAAAAAAAACACATCTTTAATGAAGTTGTTAATAAGTTTTATTTAATAAGAGTGTTTTAACTTTTTATAATCTTTTCTTAACTTTTACATCTTTTAATTTATCATTTTCATCTTTATTTTTTAAAAGAATTTTAGTATATAAAAATATCGATAAATAAAAATAAATTTATCACAATATAATTTTTTTTATCATATTTATATATTAAAAATGTTTATTTATTATGAATGTTATTTGTATATTTTAAAATATTTATTTATTATAAATTTAGTTATATAAAATAAATATGTAATTTATGCACTGTATACATTAGAATACTAGTTTTTTTTCTCAGTACAGTTTCATTATAATTAAATGTGTACATGTAATTAATTAATAAATGAAAAAGACAGAGAGAATCTCATATTTTGTTGATCTTATTATCTTAAAAATTCTCAAATACAAAAATATTAACTTAAATCATATGGCTTTGTTAGTTTCTGTGGCACCTAAAACTCCTCGCCATCAATTCAGTGGGCTGAAGATCGAAGAAGAAGAACAGCTTGACCAAGACTCAGTTATTTGTTTTCTTGTGAGTTTTCATTGAACCAATGAGAAACTAACTGACGAAACTAATTTAGAACCTTTCGTACACATCATGGACTACTAGCATTATTTTAACTGAGAAATCTCTTTTTGCAGATAAATAAATGCTAGCCACCCTTAATTAAATTGTGTGAAAACAAAATATTTTAACACTGCAAAAGAAGGAAAGAAAACCAAGTTTCTTTTCTTTGTATGGAAAGAAAAGGAAGTTTCTGATGAAAGCACAATTACAAGACTCATATATCTTCTTTTTTTTTTTTCCCTTCTTTTCTATGCTAATTAAGTGACATGGTTGAATATATAGTCCTTGTTTGCTTCGTTCACCTTTGTACAAAGTTGAATAGTAGTACCTGCCTAAGAATTCAAGCAATTGTAGCATTACCTGACAAATTAGTTAACAAACAAATATTTAATATGCTCACATTTTTTTTTGACAGTACATTATAAAAAAAAAACTTCGTTATTACTGTTGCACAATGCAAACTTTTGGATGGCTGATCCATGGTTAATTATCCGCTAAAAATATCAGTTTGAATTGAAGTCAAAAATACCTTTGGTAACGTATCTATTAAAAATAAAAATAAAAATATCTAAAAATTCTAAAAAATTACTTCTGTATCCAAACAAGCTCACGATCAAAATGAAACCCTCATTAAGTTTACTCATATTAGAGGACAAAGATGTAATATGTATGGATGAATTAATTGTCATATACTATCAACATCATTGGTAATTAACTGTGATTATACTGTAAATATAAAATAGTTGTACTACTTTAGAAAAATATTTAATTTATATACCTAATTTATATATATATATATATTATTTCATTCGTCCTAAATTTTTAATTCTTTTCATTTTTCAAAATAATTAATTTTATTAGAATTTTAAAGTGTAATTAATATTTCTCTCTCTCTCTCAATATTGTACTCATTTAATAGGCAATTTTTAAAATATTTTAAGCTTATAAATTATACTTTTAGATTTTTACTAAATAATATCGATTATATCGTAATATAATGTTTTTTTTAGAGGGTATCGTAATTGTTAGAATAGTGGATTAAGCCTAACTCAACCCTACAAAACCAGCTTGTAAGGTGAGGGTTGCTTTCCACTTATATACTATTCAATTGCCTAATCTCTAGTCGATGTGAGACTTGGGTTTTTCCCAATACACCCCTTCATGTCCAGCACTATTATGCTTGGTACGTGGATAAATGGTGGGTAGTCATGCATCAATGGTGGGACACCCATTTTTAAAGTGGATCTAAATGGCTCTGATACCATGTTAGAATAGTGGATTAAGCCTAACTCAACCCTACAAAACCAGCTTGTAAGGTGAGGGTTGCTTTCCACTTATATACTATTCAATTGCTTAATCTCTAGTCGATGTGGGACTTGAGTTTTTTCCAATACACCCCCTCACGTCCAGCACTATTGGGCTTGGTACGTGGATAAATGGTGGGTGGCCCTTTTTAATGATCTAGGATTGGCGGGACTTGAATTTTTCCCAATAGTAATATAATGTTATTTTCAAATTATTGAAAATTACATTTTTTTAAAAATAATGATGAAAGTAATAGATGGGAAAATATATACGGGTTGTTGTGTGATAGTCTTTGGTTGCCCGGTTTTACTTTTAAAAAGTTCACTCAATAATAGTGTATTAATGAATGCGATACTGCAGTTTAATATTTCTATGTATCGATTGAGAACAATAATCAATATATAACTTTTTGATAAAATCATATTAGTAATACAACTTTTTTCATAAATACATTTCTTTTAATTGTGATACTTGAATAATTTATTAAGAGATAAATTTTAAAAAATAATAATTAATATCAAATTAAAAACTGAGAATATAAGTTATTTTAGAACATTTTTCAAATATTAAAAAATCAGTTAATTTAGAATGGAAGAAATAAAAATATAAGCATGTATAATGTGATTGTACTATAACATTTAAGAAACAAATATAATTAATAAATATAAAATATATATTTATAAATATCTTATTATTATTTTCTTTTTTAATTTATGTAAAATCGTTTTTCTTTACTTCTATCGCTCATCATCATTAATTACTTAATTTATAGTTTTTACTATCCATCATTGATATAACGACCCAATAGTCACTCCTCTTTGGATTAATCAGATGTTATATATTAAACCTAAACCACTATTTTAGGTATTGAACTTTTTAAGGGGCTATTATTCGATAATAGTGTTTTTAGAATTTTTTTTATTAATTTATTTAATTCAATTTTTTTATCATATTTATTTATAAATTAAATCTTAATATTTTTAAAATAAATTATAAATTACTAAAAATAATCTTATACTACAATATAAATTATTTATTTTAAATATAAAATATAATTTATATGTTCTAAAAAATCTACTTATACAAATTTTAAATATAATTTATATATTCAAATATAGCATTTATTTGTATATATAATTTATTATAAAATTTAGTTATATATAATAAGCATTTATCATATAAAATACACATGTTAAAATACTAATTTCTTTTTATCTCTTAAAAATGTGAATTTGAACGTGTCATTCAAGCTTATATAATCAATTTATAAGATGAAAATTATCTCTTTATTTATATACTCCACTTTTTTTTTTTTAATAAATGCATGAATTTGAATATTTTAACATATCTCTTCATATTTAATATGATTAAACTTAATATGTGTATATATATAATGCATAACCCTTTTTAATGGATCTTACGTGTAGGCTCATGTAATTTGAATTTTTTTCTAATAAATGTAAGTAATTTTTTAATGGATGTAAGATAGGTTTATGAGATTTAGATATTTTTCCGAAAATCCTCTCTTATGCCCAGCAGTTTTGGACATTAATTTTTCTCAATATTATCGAAACTATATATATAGTACAACAACAACTATTTAAAAGATATTATGAAGGAAGCAAATGAGAAAGAGTAATTAATAATTACATTAAAAATATAAATGACATTTATTTCATTTAGTACTTGTTTTTTCTTCTGCATATATGTTATAAAACGGATAGAGTGAAAAATATATGAAAGAACATTAGACATAAAAAATCATAATTATGATTAAAAAGATTATGTAAACAATCATAATTATGATTAAAAACCTAAACTGAATTTTTTTTATACTACAAGTATCTTCGATTAGAAGTAATTATGTTTGATATGGATATGATCATTATGAATGATAAAATTTTTCTTTAAATATTTAATGTAATTATATACATAAGACTCAGATTCAAAATTATTAATTAAGTTGAAACAAACTCACACTAATTAATCTACATACTTAGTAATACATAATTTGGCGTCATCGAGTGGTTTAAGGAGAATATATGTAGAAAAAAAATGTCATTGAGCATTGGACATCTTTGTAAGACAGAATAATATCTTTTTGAGAATTTTTATGCTTATTTAGTATTTTATATCTTTTATAAAGTTAAGTTAGAAATGGGAGAAAATTAGACATATAAAAATAAGATTAGTAATGTGATAAAGAAAAAAAAAATTGAGTTAATATGTAACAATAATATGTTTTTGGGTGACTATGTTATTGATAGAAAGTCACAAAAAAAAAAGTGACAGACTATAAACATATATAAAATATGTATTTCTATCTTAATATAGTTTATCTTATACACAAATACATTATTTAAGTGTCACTACTATAAGTGTCGAAATCAGAGTCAATAAAGTAAATTCTAAGAATAAAGCAGCTCTACCCTTTTTGAGTTTCCTTAAATTTATAAACCAAAGGAAGATTTCCTTAAATCTGTTCAATCATGCTTTTGCATCCAACCACTACAAGCCTTACTACAAAGTGCCTTTCCCTGGTAACCATTAATTATATTTTCTAAGAAAATAATGGTCATCATAATAAACAATAGAACCATATAGGAGATAATGGAAGAACCAAATAAGGCTAAAGGTGATTGTCCCTTCCTGCAACCAAAGAACGCCAAATATACATTAATGCCATGTATGTATAGTATCACTAGCTTAATCTAGTAATTGTACTTCTTTCTATTATATACGACTTCCTAAGTTCCATTCCCAAGCTTATTTGTTTATGGTATGACTTAAAAAAATAGTGTAATTAATGCACTTTCTCTATTCAGTAAGCATGCACAAAGAAAGTTAGATACCAAAACACACATTCTGAAGTTTGGCCGCTTCACGGGGTAATATATGTTTCGTGAAAGGGAAGATTATCGAGAAAAAAAGGGGGAGAAAAAGACAAAAGGTTGTCATGGACCACTTCATGTCATCATGGTATTATTGTTATAATGTGGAAATATAAGGGTAATCACTAAATGACAAACTACATAAATATATCCCAAAGGCAAGACAACAATCTTAGCTTTCTTCCCCACAATTTCTCCCCCTTGAGTCTGTGTCTGGATTTTCATCTCTGATCCAAACTCTTGAAGCTTAAGAACCTGAGCCTTATTGAACTCGAACGTGCCAAGTTTTTGTGTTGCACGTATGCCCTTTATTGTGTTTCAATTTGTTAATTTCTTTTCTTTTTCAATTTTCTTTTCTTAAGCTTTATGGTCGAAAAAGCTACTCCTGTTATATCAGGAACAGAATTCAAGAAAGATTGTAACAAGAAATAATGCTTCTCATTCGGTTAGAATGACACTTTTTTTTGTCTGACCCTTGTCAGGTTTTGCTGCTTTAAACTTTGTTGAGGACAGAATTTGCATTTCCCTTTGGAATTCTGGTCTTAGACTTCTTAGGCTATCCCGGTCACCAAGGTATGGTAATTGCACCGCCATGTACAAATTTTCTATGAAGGAAACATAATGATAACATTTTTCTCTTCCTTTTTCCTTTAGGGGTGATTTTCATTTTCAAACTGGAAAATTGGTAATTAGAAAAGCTAATGATCGCAACAAATCATGAAAGCAAATCACCATCCTATAATTAGTATACATATTATGTATTTATTATAACGTTAGTAATTAATCTCAGTCAAAGAACCTGGTTGATCATCTTTAGAAAATTGAGTTTAAGTCTATTCAAATCAATGACTTGTTTGCTTATAAGAAGTAATATATTCAGAATTTTCTTCATATTATTTTCAGGTTATTGTGAAGATAAAATGAGTATTGTTTATAGTCATGCTGTGAAGTATTCCCAAGGAGAGACAAGGATGAACCCTGAAATGGATCCAAATATTGGTCAACATTGTCACCAACACAATTCTGGCCTAACGCGGTACCGTTCTGCCCCAAGCTCATTGCTCACAAGCCTTGTGAACAACAACAACAACAACATTGGTTGTGTGAATGGTGAAGCTTTCAGAAGTGACCATAATGATCATCAGCAGCAGCAGCAGAATTATCCTCCCACCACAAGTTCAGAAATGGAGACCATGTTGGCCAAGTTGATTTCTTCAACCAATTCTGAGCCTTTGCAAGTGAAGCAAGAAGCAGGGGACTCTGTTTCACAGCCACCACCACAAAACAGTGGTTACTCCTATGGGCCTTCACCTCAGATAATGTACCAAACTCAGCAAATTCAAGGCTTGCCAATGCCAAATGGCTCTCTGGGTGCTTCAGGGAATGCTTTTGATGGCTCATTCAGTGCAGTGAGTTCCCTGCCCTCACAGAATTCTACACAAACTAAAATGAGTGCCTCCAACCATTGTTCCAATCTCATTAGGCAAAAGAGTTCCCCTGCTGGGTTCTTCTCCAATTACTCAGTTGATAATGGTATGTATGCCCTTTTACCTTACCTGCTAACTGTCTTAAAATTTCATTAGTTTAATTTTCATATCTTTCACTGATTTCTACTATGATTAATGATTATGCATCCACAGTATAAAAACTCTTAGATTGTTAACCAATAAAAATCATCTTTAATTAAATTTGTGATTAGATGTGAGTCTAAGACTGTTTTGTATTAGTAATACATTTTTTAACAATTAATTAAAAGATATCCCAAGTGCAATTTTTAAAATAATTATTTAAAAACTAAACAAACTTCCTATGCTAATCTATAATTCTATGTTAAAAAATGATAATGTATAATTAGATTTACATTCTTGATGCTTTTTTATTAAATTCATTTCATTCTGAGTAAAATTTCTTCTTCTTATGGATGATAATTTGTTTTCTGATTTGGCTTAAACGCGAATCAATTTTCATCAAACTTGTTTGGCCTTGTGAATTGAATTATTGAAGGGTTAATGGATCATATCTGTTATAGGATTTTTTTGAAAGTTCAAAATTAATATTCTGAGAAGTTTGCTAGTTAATTAATTAGCTTCAAGTCAAGTCAAGTCAGATCCCTTTTTCCTGCAGTACTGCTAAATATAGTAAGGCAATTGGGAGTTGCTTGTCCAGAATATAAAATCGAAATTATGGAATATCCATTTCTTGCATATATAGAGGGTTGACTTTTATTTTAACTATATTTTATTTAAGTTATTAAATCTCTTCGAATCAAAAGAAAATTAATTGGAATATTTGGGGATAAAGAAGAGGGCAGAACCTGTGTTATCAGAAAAGAATCTGAGAAAAGAAGGCATAGGAGTTAGCTGTAAAAGTACTACAAAAATTTAGGTCACAAGGGGAATCCTTCAATTGCCTCTTCTTATTTTATTTATTTATTTATTTTTTAATCTTTTGGGCAGCAACTTCTCTTAACAATTAATTTTATTGTTCGTTACCAGCACGTGACTACAATAATGGAGACCCTAAAATGTACTAAAACTTAGTGTACTGTAATTGTTGTGGTTGGAGACCCATTTTCAAAAGAAAATAATTACACGCGTAAATAATTTATATCAAAATAATTTCATATTTTTTTATCTATTAAAATTACATTAATATCACTGGAATTCGAACTTAAAACTCTATATATATTAATATATATATATATATATATTATTGTACTTGTTTTCTTTTTCTTTATTATAAGTAATTTATGATAGAAATATCATTTCTCTTTATAAACCTGGTTTCTCGCTGAGGTTTCCTTTTAAGATGTTAGATTCGAATAATATGAATTGATCAGAATTAATCCGTAGGATTGAACTAGTGGTGAAGACATAATATTTACAAAATTTTATGTTTAAACTTTATTATTATTATTATTATTATTATTACTATTATTATTATTTATATAGATAAAATTAAAAGTCATCCACGGAATTAGTATGGTCACTTTTCATAGTCGAGACATAAAGTGACTTTTAAATGTCTGAACTATTATAACTAAAAAATAAATATTTAATATGCATAATATGTGAATTAAATTTTTATTTTATATAAAAACATAATTTTAAATATATTAAAATAGTTTATAAGAAATAAATTTAAAATAATATGTGAATATCACTTTTAATTATTGATAATTTTAAAAAAATATATTAAACTTTAATTTTAAAAAATAAAAGATTAAAACTAATGTGGTTAAGAAAATTTTCTAAAAATATTTTCATCTAAAAAAATAGTTAAAAAAAGTTGTTGTTCTATATAGTTATTTCAATATATATATATATATAATCAATTAAATTGATCATATAAAAAGTACTTTTTATGATTCCAAATGTTGCAGCTTTGAGAGATGTAGCAAGTTTTAGGGGCTGTGATGTCTCAAACGGACAAGCTATTACAACCACCAGTGGACTGCATGGTACTTTGAACTTCTCATCTAGGGCATCCTCTTGCTCCACCCGGATGCCACAGATTGCTGAAAATGGAAATGAAGGTGTGGAAACAAATTGTGTTGAAAGTAGAAACCTGAGAAATGACAATGGCAACTCCAAATGTTACATGCCTTCTTTCACCAGTGACTTCTGGGATGCTTCTGCATTCAGTGCCTCCAAAGCTAGCAACAATGCTGAAATCTCGTTTTCCACTTCAAATGCTATGGATATTCAGGTATACCCTTGTAGAAGAATTTATGCTAAAATAGATTTTTTTTTTTTCCTTTACTTTTATTTTTTATTTCAATTTGGTCGTTTAAGTTTAAAAGTTTTATTCTAGTTTAAATTAGTCTTTTCGATAGTTTATCTCACTGATTTATCATTTTAGTGTGCTCCAAATCATGGAGATGTCATATCAACTAAAATAAATATTGTTGGTGCAAAAAATTGATATAGAAAGATCAATTACTAGTTTACTACCAATACTGAATGGTGTCATGATTTATGTAGCTGACCTCACCTAGTAAAATAAGGACTTTGATGTTTTGGTTTTTATTTTTTATTTTTATCTATGTTGTTGATAAGTGAAAACTTATGTTACCAGGATGCTGATTTTGGATATCAAAATGTTGGTTTGACCCACCATTTGAGTCTGCCTAGCTCTTCTACTAAGATGGCTACCATGCAGAAATTTTATCAGATTCAAGGATCTGTTCCATGTAAAATTCGTGCCAAGAGAGGCTTTGCTACACACCCAAGAAGCATTGCAGAGAGGGTAAAAGTCTCCTTTAATTCTACTGTTACTATAGATTATAAATCATATGCAAAGTTTTAATTTTGGAAAACTGTTGGCGACCCCAATTTAAGTCACAATGTCAAGATTTTTTGGTCTTTGAAACAGAAATTGAGGTCACATTTATCTACAATTTTTCGCAATATCGAGCATTATTATTAAATATCACAATTTAAAACCTTGATCATATGATTACATCATAATTTAATGAACCACCTACTGGTAAACTCAACTGCTTCTTATGTTATCTTAATCTGAATATTTCAGGAAAGAAGAACACGAATTAGTGCAAGAATCAAGAAATTGCAAGACCTTTTCCCAAAATCGGACAAGGTAATCAAATATCTCACTAGAAAATCACATTGTTGAGTTAATCATCTTCATATTCCCTTTTGATGACTTGATGCTTCTCTATTCGCAGCAAACAAGCACAGCAGATATGTTGGATTTGGCAGTTGATTACATTAAAGACCTACAGAAACAAGTTAAGGTACTAGAGAAATACAAGTCTTCCCACAAATCCTGAAAAAATTAAATAAATAAACAAAGTGCACTTATACAAGTAAATAAAAATTCTATATTGTCTAACCAAATAATTTACTCATCTTGCAGATGCTCACAGATACTAGGGCAAAGTGCACTTGTACAAGTAACCAGAAGCAATATTCTAGACCTTGTGCCTGATTTATATCCTTGTAGATAACCAAAGGAAGGATTTCTTATTTTTGTATTTATTCTTTGTTGTACCAAAATTTAGAGCCATTGTCATTATGTAGAATAGTGCTGATATTTGCTAGTATCTAAGAATTTAGGTCCAGCTCCGTGTGAATCTCTTTCCAGTTTTGTTTTTTCATTTTCCCTCTTTTTTTTTCTTTCTTTCCTTTACTTGGTTTAAGGATCATTCATTATGTACTAATAAGTTTAGAAAGAGTCATTGTAAATGCTCATCATTTTATTCATAAGAGGTTTGTTCTTGAGAAACTATGACAAGCTAAAGACTGAGTTCTATATAGGGAAGAAATTACCAGAGCAACAAGTAGTTAAGATCTTTGCATGCGTGTTGCAAATATAGGGGTGTGCTAATTAAAAATGCAGAAAAGAGTGATGGAAATTCCTTGATACGTTGCTAAAATTTCTCCCTACCATTTGGACTCATGCCAAGCTATGCATACTCCAATGCATATCTTCATTTCAAAAGGAGAGGCCTAATAAGTAATAACTTAATACTTAATAGTATATGGTTGTAAAAATACAAATAAACAAAAAAGTCATCCACTCATTCTCTAATATATTTTTCTTTCATTTATTATTGGTTAAAATGTATTAAAAAATATAAAATTATGAGTCAAACTTATTAAATAGAAAACAAAACTCCCAATTTTTATGATCCTCTATATATAAACAGCATAAGAACATGTTTAAGAGTCATTCTTCATCCATCGATGTGTGTTTAGAAAAAAATCTTCAATTGTTAGTGGTCATCAAATCAATATGAGTAATATATGGGCCAACCTAATATGCTCTCATTCATGTTTTTCTAAAAACTCCGTTGTGCTGTCCAAACCCCATGGAAGGCACACCAATCTTGTTGTTGGAGTTCTTTCAAAATAAGGAGAAGATAAGTTGTTTCACTCATGCATGGGTGTGGGACAACTATGTTGTTATTAAAAGAAGAGGAAGATGTTGATGTGATTTTGGCTTTACACAAAAGGACAAAAAAAGCTAAATATTCAAGAAAAAATCATGATTGTAATATAACTTAGGTTCTTAAGTTTTTAGGTTTTAGTTGGTTGAGTAGGTTAAAGTCAAGTGAAGTTAATCCTTTAATCTTAAATTCTAAGTCAAGAACTAAAATGAATCAACATATACAAAACTCATCACTGCAACCTCTAGATCACAAATCTAGCAAGAAACAAAGCATGCAACAAGGATTTAGGATGAAAATCAACATCTCCATATTCACTCCCAAAACCCTCAAAATCCCAACACATGCAATTCACCAATCTCAACAATCCATCCATCTAATCAAATTGAATCAAAATCAACAATGTTTATGCAACATACATTACCTCAATCGAGCTTCCTATGGGAAAAAATAAAGGTAGAATAAAACTCCCCCTACAACTCTCACTAAAGCCCTCAGTTTTGATCATCAAGAATTTCAATTCTATAATCTTTCTTTGGCTTCAAGATCTACCAATCTCTATCTTTGGAAAAGATCCACAACTTTAAGGATAATTCGAAGCTCAACTAGCAATATGAATTCTCTGAGTCCTTCCCTCTAACATTATCTAGAATCTTGAAATATGAAACTTATGAAGTTTCCAATTCCCTCATATACCTTAGCTCTCCTTGGACCAATAACTCTCACATGCTTAAATTATATCCTTTATAACTCAAGTTTATGGTTATCTCGACTCTAACGCCTGACCTCAACACTGGCAAAAACAACAAAGCACAACATAAAACATCATTCTTAATTACATATATCTCCAATATATATAATTAAGAAAAACATGATGTTATGGTAGTAGTGGTGACATGACAACGACAATAACATTAGTGGTGGTAATGACAATTCTAATGATAGCAGTGGCAATAACAATAGAGACAACTACGATGATTTATTGCGATATGTGATAACCTTATTTTGTAAATTTTTAATTTAAGTTGTTTATTTTAATTTAATAGTTGGGATTGTGCATTCTCATTTTCACATAAAAATCTCATTCTCATAATATATACTATCATACTTTTAGAGACTTGAGCTTGTTATAATATTGTACAAGCTTCATCATATGCTCACGAATACCACTAACACCATCATATTTGGTCTTCTCAATAAGAGATGGATACCGACCCTTTTGAGCTTTGTCAAAAGTCTTAAATTTCTCACCAACTGACCTTAGAAAATCCTTAGCCTTATCATTTTTTGGAATGCTCTGTCGAATAGACTTCTCCATGGTGTATTTCATCACCATCAAACACACCCTCTTTGAATGTTCTCATTTCTCACAAGAAGCTCTCTGGACAACAGTGGACTCAAGAATAAGAACTAGAGGCTCTTCCTCTCTCAAAGAAAGATCCATATTAGTAATTGCTAGATATAAATCCAAAGATTTTTTCCAAGCCTCAAAATTTGTCTCATTCAAAGTTTTGACCAAAGTCAATTGCATAGGCAAAGAAATTGGTATCAAAACAACAAAGAAACATTTAATATGCACAATTATTATGCAATAAAAAATTTAAATATTTTTGAATACACAGTCAAACATGCTTATAATATAAAATTTCTCATTCATTATGATTCCGCCTAAAGGTCCCGAATCATAATAAATAAGAAATACAAAATACAACGCACAATTCATGTCAAAAGAATCTAATACCGATAGGGTACTTGACAAATAATTGACATTAGATAAAATTAAAAACGCATTGTATCATAACACCAAAATACATTAACAACAAAATACAGATAGGGCATAGTTATCATTAATGTAATATAAAATTAATTAGAGAAATATTTAAGTTATTTTTCACACAAATTACATATAGTTGTATCCATGATAGGTGAGCTCACAATCATATAAAATTATATTACTTGTTCTTACCGGAAATCTGCTTTAAAGATGATCCTCCGAGTAAGATTGGTGAGCCTCCTTCGCTGGTACGCTTGATGCTCCAAGATGGGGGTGGTACCTGCAAAAGAGACTCCGATGCTAAAGTTAGGGTTTGTATGAGTATGAATCTCGTATATATAATGCACGTACCTTGATGTATATTAGGGTTGCGTTGGGCCTTGGGCCTAAGATTAGTTGTGATTTGATTAGGTAGAGAATCTCGCCTAGACCGAGATTCCCTAAGATCATTTACGATCTATTTAAGTGCCGAGCTGACGCCACGTAGCGCGTGTTCGAGGTCAGCTCATGCTGTGGTACCGAGCTTGGAGCTCGGCTTCGAAGTACGGATAGTACACTAGCCCCCCGAGCTTCGAAGACCGTAGGTCGAGGAGTTAAGACCGCGCCAAGTGGGTGCGACCTTTTGTATACGCCTACTTGCTGAGATGCCATGTGTCATAACTGGTCCCTTCCGAGAACGTGCAAGTGGTGCGTTAATGGAAGTGACGGTTATGACAAGACTCCCTTGTTGTGGTTGGGCCTATCGTATGGCCTCCTTTGACCTCCACCTTTCTTGGACCCAGCTGGTCCCTCAGCAGTCTTCATCACACAGTTGCCACCTTCCAACCGCTCAACAACTTTCGCCTTCTCAACTAAGGTCAGAAACTCCGTGATGGCCATAGGCACCACCACCCTCTTCAACTCTTGTCTCAAACCTTCAGCAAACTTCCTGCATTTTCAGGCCTCAAAAATAGCTTGCGAATATAAATATATATATATATATATATATATATATATATATAAACTTAAGTAAAAGAAAATATTAATATTTTATTATGTGAGATATTAAGATATACAGAGAATAGTGGGGTCACTCTTCAAGCTCAATCTATGCATTTTTCTAGTAGGAATGGTAAAAATCCTGTTATGGCATCCACAAGTTATTATGGAGTCACTGAAGACATTTGGGAGATCAATTATACTAAATTTAAAGTTCCTATTTTTAAGTGCAAGTGGGTTGATATTAACACCGGTGTGCGAACCGGTGAAATGGGATTTACGATGGTAAGCTTTAGCAAAGTGGGTCATAAAGAAGAACCTTTTATCATGGCAAACCAACACATGTAATTTATGTCAATGATCCCATTGATGAAATGTGGTCCATTGTTCTCCAAGGTAGAAGTGTGCACAATGTTGATGATTCAATAGTCGAGTTTTGGGAGAGTCTTTCATTCTCAACACGTATGGCTACTAACAATGAAGAAATTGAGCAAGATGACATTCATGTCATTCATAATGATCATGATAAAGGCATATGGGAGAACATTACTATCTAATTGTCGCACATAAGTTATGTTTATCTTATAGATTTTAATATTCTATTCATTATTTTTTTCATGTTTTAATTTATTTTATTACTTTTATTGGAATTGACCTTGCTTCTTTTTTCTTTTTTTTTTTATCAAAACAGACACATAGATACTCCTGAAGACTCTTCTTCTCCTACACTCCCTACTTCAGAGGCTATACCTAGGAAAAAAAGACCACCAACACGGTTGAAAAGTGTAGCCCTTAAACGCATGATGTGACACCCTTACTACCCTGAAGTTTGCTGAAGGTTTGAGACAAGAGTTGAAGAGGGTGGTGGTGCCTATGGCCATCACGGAGTTTCTGACCTTAGTTGAGAAGGCGAAAGTTGTTGAGCGGTTGGAAGGTGGCAACTGTGTGATGAAGACTGCTGAGGGACCAGCTGGGTCCAAGAAAGGTGGAGGTCAAAGGAGGCCATACGATAGGCCCAACCACAACAAGGGAGTCTTGTCATAAGGCAACCTGCTGATGCTTCTAGAGGTGGGAAACAGGGTGGAGGTGCCACTCTCAAGTGTTACAGGTGTGCTGGACCCCATTTTGTTCGGGATTGTCCTCACACGGAGAGCTGGTGTTTTAGGTGTCATCAGATGGGTCATGAGTCGATCAACTGTCCCGCCAGAAACAGACCGGATAGGGGTGCTCCGAGAGGTGATAGACTTGTTGTTGTTGGGAGGGTGTTTGCCTTGACTGGGGCTGAAGCTTCCACTTCATCAGACCTTGTGAAGGGGAAGGGTAAAGCTGCTGGTAAGGATGTGATGATTTTATTTGATTTTGGAGCTTCCCACTCTTTTATTTCATATGCTTGTGCTGCTATGTTGGGTGTGCCGATATGTGTTTTGGGGTTGAGACTACTAGTGTCGACGCCCGCTTCTGCTTTTGTGGTTGCTTCTGAGCTGTGTGTTGGTTGTCCTATAGTTGTGAATGAGAAGAAGTACAAGGTAAACTTGATTTGTTTGCCTTTGGTGGATATTGACATAATCTTAGGAATGGATTGGTTGTC